AACATAATTGTGTTAATTGTCAAATATTTCAGAAAACTTAAAATAACCATTATTATTTTATGAAGAAAAAATTACAAATACTCATTTAAGATAACCAAAGAAGTACATGCTGAGGTGTATTAAAACTGTCTGCTTGCTTACATTGGGCTCTGGTGTCTTACATTAACGTATATGCTGTCTTAGCATATTTTTTATTTTTCTTTGTTCTATTCTTGTTTGATGTGTTCTTTTATCCAGAGAGGCTTTTTCTGTGCATTTAAATTTTGGTGCAAATATCTTGGTGTCTTAAACTGCTTTGAAGTGCATGTTTTCAAGCTTTCAGATTTTGATGTGGTTCAAAATTGAAACACAAGTGTGGTAAAGGTGCAAAAGGTAGCTTGCAAGTTTCAGCTACAAGAAATGTGTTTCATTGAATGGGAAAGGTTATAGTTTTGAATGCAGCTTTGTAGCCTGCATGAAGCACAACTGGAATTTGGGATGTGTGGTGTTAAGAGTGACACTTCTCTGAAGTGGGTAAGCACTGCAGTTGCCTGGATTCCTCCAAGGAAGAATATTGAAGAGAACTTCATGCCAAGGGGATCTCTGGTATAACGGCAATTGAGTTTACTGTGCATAAACCAGGAATTTGCCTTTTTGATTTTCACTACAGTGCCTCTATATTTGCATATGTTGTGTAGATGCTCTTCCAGGAGCTTTTTGCTTTTCAAAATAAATATTATCAAGCAGATATATTTAGCATAGCAGCACTTAACTCAGTATGTTTTTCCTCTAGCTGTAAGCATGTTTAATTCAGCGAAAAGGGGGATATATAAATATTCTGTGCAAACTGGGGGTCTAAGTGAGGGTGATAATTTTTGTTTTAAGCCATTGAATGTTTCCTGACCTTTCAATTATGGAGGCTTTTCTTGTGTTTTAATTCAGCTTTCAAACCCTTGTATTTTTGTCCATTTCTGTATTCTGAAAATCTCTCTGCAGTGGATTGTTAATTCATAAATTAATTGCTTTGTAATGTAGTTGTTTTGGTTTTATACAGTGTCTGTGACAGAAACTAATTTGCCTGTATTATTATCAAAGGTATGCAGTAAATAAATACTTGGTTTGTAAACTGTCTCTTGTAAGCAAGCAAAATGTTGCAAATCAATTTTATTTTGTATTTTCAGGCAGTTTTCTTGTCTGGTAATGTAGGGCCATGATAATAGAACTCCTAGATGTGCTGATGGGGATCATGTTATTAACGTAATTTCTCCTCATACTCGTTGCTCATAGCCAGAGATTCTTCACTGTGCTGTAGCTGTAATGAAGCTGATGTACTGGGTTCCTCCCTCTCAGATTAGCGTTGGCTACTGCTTTGTTTCTGAAATTGCTGCTCTAAACCATCGTCCCACTCTGAGATACAAAAAGCAGGAGGTGAAGGCTGCCAAGGTCTGAACCTGCAGTCCCAGCACAATGAGGTTGGACGCTCGTGAAACCCTGAGCTCTGGGAACTGAGTTTGGGAAGGGTGTTTCTAGATGTATGCCCCTGAGAAACTTGCAGTTTTCTGACTGAATATTAATCTGAAAAGTGTTGCTTTAAGCCAAATTCCTCTGTCTTTGAAGTACAGACATGGAGAGGGCTAGGATAGGTAGTAGCAAGGTGTGTTTGGAGGAAGCTCCAGATGCAAGGAGAGAGTGGGGCTAACTGGCCTGTAAGGACAGAAATGTCCTGTTAGGTGGATGACCAGAAATAGAAATCCCTCTGAGTCCTGTGAAAATACACAGAATTAAATCATGCAGGGCCTGGTATAATGTGCAAAATATATTTGCTTTTTGGGTACTGTGATATCGTTAGACTACCGAGGGCTGGCAGAGGGTATTGACCAAGGTCAGCCATCTGTGTGCTTTGGTGGGCAACCAAGGCTATGGGGATGTTTACTGTGGTCTCTTCAGCTTCAATCCAAAGTAGTTTCTGTGAAGCACTTTGTGTTGGTGTTTAGTGGTTAATGCCACATCCAGCAGTTCATTTTCCCCTCTCCTGTTCCCCTCTCCTGTTTGCTTTGGCCCTGGAGAAGTGTATCTGAGCCACCTGAGAGTGAGGTGTCCCTGGCGTGCTCACCAAGGATTTATGAATGTGGGAGGGTTTTGATGGATCTGAGTGTAGCGTGCGACCACCAGCCAACATTTACACACTTTATCCAAACCAGTTTGGGCAGAACTGGAGGTGGGGTGTTACAGCCTTACTTCATCTTGAGCTGTGCTCTGTTTCCTTCCATACCAACATCTTGGTCTTTCCAGTCACCTGTCCTGTGTGAGTCAGGATTTCCTACCGCAGGGCTTTAGCTCATCTCTACCATGGGGATTGCAAGTCCAGGTACTTGGAGGGTTGTTTGAGTGAACACACTCCAGTACCCTGACCTCTACTGGATGTCAAGACAAGTTAGCAATTATGGGATAACCAGGAATAATATTAATATGATTCCATATGAATCCAGTAAGTTTGCACTTATGTAGCTGTGTGAAAAATTTAGCTCTTTATAATAGACCATTAGAGCATTCAATTAGCAGATCTGTCCACGGGCTATGAAGTCACTTAGTTCTTACAGAGATAATTATACCGTTAAAACTGGAAAGTTATTACAGGAAAATAGGAAGGTGGTATTTGTTTTTAAACAAGTAGGTTTTATAAACTTGCTTTGTAGCTGATGGATTTATCCAGCTTTTGGAAACACTGTTAAATGCTCAACACTTGCAGTAACACCATTTCATGGAATCATGTGGTGGCTTGGATTGAAGTGACCTCTGGAGGTGTCCTTGGCCAGCCTCTTACTCAAGGCAAGCCCAGCTTCAAACTTGGATCAGGTTGCTCAGTCAGGGCCTTGCTTGGCCAAACTGTGTGATCTGTAAGGACGGAGATTACGCAGTGTCTCTGGGCAACCTGTTGTACCTGCTCCTGCTCAACCGCACCCTCATATCCAGTAGGAATTTCCCTTGTTCCAACTTGTGGCTGTTGCCTCTTGTGTTTTCACCATAGGCCTCAGGGTTCCATCTCTTCTCTAATTCCTTATTGGATATTATTCGATTATTCAAAAGCTTCTGCTTGCTATCTGTGCTACGTTGGGAAATTTTAATTCAGTTACTTGTATTCCAGAAGGTACATGATGCAGAATATCTGCTTTGATGAAGCATAACTTAATTTAATAACTGCAGGTTGTCTAAGATCAATTCAGTTGAATACAGTTCTGGGAAGAGCTGTTAAGAAATAAGATGTATTAATCCGTAATGGTTTATGAGTCACTGGTGCAACCAATGCAAATTACTAACATTTTATGTATCTTAAACCTGTAAGTGCACACTTTTGCACAGAATCGCATAAATATGCAAGACTGATCTTGTTCTCGTGAAATTCAAATGCACAAAAATGGAAAGGAGTAATTCATGGGTTTAATAAGTAGGCCTGTCACTGGCCGTGACAAATAATCCTATGTACAGAAGGAGAGGGATGTGATGAGTATTCCGCCTCCCAAAGCAGATCCAACGATGACTACTGCATCTTCTTAAATTGATAGTCAGACCATTAATGACTGAGCAGGATTCTGATACGTCTTAGAAAATGAGCAAACTTTGATGGCACTAAAGATAAAATATTACTTCAATTGTATGGGATAATCTCATTGTAACTAAGCTACCCACAGAATTTAGGCCACTCTTTTGGCAGGAGCTTTTTTGAAGTAAATATTATTTATTGATTTAAATTTTTTTTCTTTGTGTATATGGATTTTGTTAGTTCAGGAGGACAATGCCTGTGCTAGCACAATCTTGATCTTTTTAAATTGGTGTGTTCTGTTTTGAGGCTTGTTCCCATTGTAAGTTGTTAGAATGCACTTTGGGGTTCTGTTACTGTAATGCCGAATAATTCCAGTGCTGTTGATGCTATGTAGTTGTTGGTGTGGTTCTGTGCACTAATCAAATTAACATCTAAACAGTTGCAATTTGCCTGTAGTCACAATTATATTTACAAAAAAACCCCCTGTAAGCACCAAATAGAATACGAAAACGTTATTTCATTTATTTTCTGCAATTGGATTCCATTACTTTTGTGAGCCTCTTAGTCTTGTATGATCATGGACTGCATTTGGAAGAAATATTTTCTGAGGTAGCTGTCCTGATTTCAATTTTTACAAAGTACTCTACTTTAATTGATCTGCTGTAAATATTTCTCAAGAAGAGAAACAATTAAAAAAACAAATAGAATTGCCAAAGAGTGAAGGCAAAGAGAGGACAGCAGCATTTTCAGGTAATAATTTCTTTTAGCTTTTTTTGTGTTACTTTGATTTGCAGCACATGTTTTGTAGCTCCCGGAAGGCTAGGATAGCTTCAGAAATACAGGAATTCTCCAGAATGCACGCTACTATCTGGTTTCAGCAGTTACCAGTGTATCTATTGAAGGCACTAAAGTTGTGCAACACTATGGAACAATAGGAATTTAAATTTTTTTTTTTTTTTAATTTGAGCCTATCTGAAGATAAATGCATGTCCTGGAGTGTGTAGATATTATTGTTTGTAATTTTGTCAGCTCTGGAATTACATGGTTGCCATTTGTCTTTTTATGTCCCAATGGGTCCAACCTAACATGAGTGTAACAGAAACATGTGCTCTCTTCATTAGCCAGTGCTTGTTTTGTTACCTTGGCATTACATTCAAAGAAACTTTCTTATTCTTCTTTTTTAAACTCTGCTTAAGTATCCAAATGATGGCAATTAGCAATTTACGAGTTATTATTTTAAAATACCTGAGTTTAATATCCAAATGGATGCCAGCACAGATTTGCCTTTAATAAAAAAGGCATTATAGTCATAATGTTTGTGGGTGCTGGTGTTTTTGTAATAGTTGGAGGCTTGTCCTGGCTTTTGTAAGGACACAGACTTCTTGCTAACTCTAGTTGGGGGGTTTGTGCTCAGAGCAGTTGGTTTGGGTCTTGGAGAAGAACAGTGGGGTTGCTAACTATTTGTTGGTTATTCCAGCAGAGTGGAAGGAGATATAATCTGTTCCTGAAGCGACGTCTCAGGGTAAAACAGTGACGAATGATATTGCAAGTGGCTTGGATGGCTGCAGTAATAACATGCTTCACTGTGTGATGCCTTTTGTTAATTGGGAGCAGGGTTCACAGTTACAAAGTTCTCTGAGAAAGCACAGAATGTTTTTCACGTGCATCTTTGCATGGCTTAAGAGGGAGAAGACAGAGACATAGCCCTCTGAATTATTATTTTTTTGTTCCTACTCTAATAAAATGAAAACCCAATTCCGTCCTATATAAATACAGCTTTGCTGATGGGTGTGGTTAAAAAACCCACCAACAACCTTCCTGAGCATGGAGTTAAATTTAGACCAGAGTTTTAATTTCTATGGAGAGGACGTTGCTGTATGATACTATAGTCTTATGAACAATTTGGTAGAGCTGAATATTGATATGGTAATAAATAATACTACCTAATTTTATGTTAACTTCCCTGTGAGAGTGAAATAATAGTCTTTATTTGCTTAACATTAATTGCTGTGGCCTAATCAGTGAAAGAGATGAATGTTGTTATTATGACATTCTGCCATGCTGATAAATGAAAATATTACCTTTAATAGAACAATTAGAATACTAATTACCCTGTTGCATTGATACATTTTATTAGATTTTTTTTTTCTCCAAGAAAGTAAGTACTCAATTTTGAAATGTAGCTCTGATATAATTTGTGTTCATTTTCATATGTAGTCATTGCTGGGGCATACTTCTCTGTGGTGGTTGGTTTGGTGAACCTTATTCTATTGAAGAAGATGCATGGAATTTACTTGCTACCTGCTTCAAGTCGATGAACGGTGCCCTAGCTGGCTTTTGTGTAGAGTGGTGTTCTGACTAACTGCAGACAAAAATAATGGCTGTCAAATAACACTTGTCTTGATCATTTATGACACATTGTAAAAGAATAAATGGTGGCATTGTTCACAGGTATTGCTACACTAACACATATTTATTCTTCATATACCAGTGTTTACATGTAGTGTTTGTGCATATAAACAGTTAATTTTGAAATTATTTCAGCTGGATGTAGCCCTTGTTAAAACTTGTGCAAGTAGATCTTCAGCTATGAAGAAACTGAAGAATTAAGGCAATTTGGGGAACTTCTTTGTCTTCTGTTATATTTTAGAGCAACAGCAATACTTGGTTTTTTTTAATCATATGCTCATATCTTCCACAGATTGATAAAAGACATCAAAGCAAAGATTCTATTTTCTTCAGGGACGGTGTCAGGAGAATTGATTTTGTTCTCTCCTATGTGGATGATCTTAATAAGGAATGGGAAAAAAAGTTGGTAAGTTTGTCTTTTTTAGGTCCTCTTAATTCTTATCTATCATAACCTGTATATCAATTACTGAGCCTTTGAAATCACTACACTCAACTGGAATTGGGCTTAGCTAAAAATTTGATAGCTGTGTAAAAAGCCATTTCATGTATTGAAATCTCTGTGCAATTTACTGTTGTGCATTAGGACCCAATTTTATTAGATTTTTGGGGCTCTATTTACTGAATTGATCACTCTCTGTTACTTAGACCAGTCAATATATTATACAATCAGTGCCAAGTAATCCAAATTATTTTGCTTTCTTCATTTAACAGTCTTATAGTTAGCTGTGGCTTTGGTGAAACCGTATCTGTAAATAGTTAAATGAAGGAGTTTTCTTCTAAATAAGCAAAGCATTATCCGAATGAGATGTCACAATAACTTTTTTTTCTCCGCCTTTTGACTTCAGTTACAGCAGAAATAGATTCTTAGGTACAAGAATTGATGCAGTTTTCCTTTAAAGACTTTTTTTTTAATATAATCGTGAGTAAAACAAACACAGTGTTTCCTCTGTGACCTTTTCCCTGTGCTTGACTTGCTCTCTAGATTTCTCTGTATTCACTGCCTTCTTTCTGAGCCAGGAGGGGTTATGCTTATAAACTAGTGTCTCCAAAGTTTGTCCATTAAAAAAAAAAAAAATAAAAGAAATGAGAGAGAGAGACTAAAAAACCTTCATTCTTGTGTAATTAGGTTATTCTGAAAGATAAGGATATCTGAAGAAAACTAATTACACCGAGGCTTATGACAAAATCATGATCAAAACTAAAGGTCTGAAGTAAAGAACATTTCTCAGCTATCTCTTGTCATATTAAAGTGTTTCATAACTAAAAATTATAGTTTCATTTGAACAAAAACTGCATGATTGGGCTGTTTGAAAAATGGCTTAGTGCTTTCATCCCTTTAAGAAGGAAATACTGTTTTCTTTAAGGAGTTGTGCTGCCTGTACTTGTATCCAAATACGATCCAGTGTAGAACACAGCCCCCACATCTCACTCTTGTTACCTTAAAAAAATACAAGAATCTCTGTCATCATCTCTGGTGCTTTTCCCGGCTTAAGCATCTCACAGTCAGCTTTGCTGAGCTGGACACATTGAGGTTTGCTTGGGAGACCAGGGTTATGGTGTAGCTGTGGTACAATAGGTTTATATAAAGGCGCACTTTTTTGGACCCCCACTGACTCTTTGTCAGGCTGTAATCCTAGCTAGACTCCTTCTTCTCCCATAAAGCAGAATGCCTTTAAAAAAGAATTAAGAGGAGACCAGTCAGTGTAGAGAGAAGAAAGATATCCATGCAAAATATGTGAAAGCAACTCTTAAAATAAACTTTTCCATTAGTCATACTCAAATAACATGAGGAAAGAAATGGAGACTATTTAGGTAATGTTTCAAGTGGAAAGGAAAACAAGCCAGATGCTCAGTCTAGTCACTCATTCGTATTGTGTGCAGCAATTTCCTTCTTATTGCTTTGTGGGTCCTTAGGGGTAGCGGGAATCTTTGCCAGTCCAGGGGCCCTGTACATGGATGTCTTCATTATCTGAAGGATTCACATGGGGAAGAACCCAAGAGTTAGTAGCTAATATTGTAGTTCCTCTTTCAGGTAAAAAGCTGTCTTGCAAAAGGCTGGAACATCCACATCAAGTTTTGTGGGATTTAATTCTGTGAATGTCAGTTACTCACACAAGAGTTTATGGCCCCATGGAAGAACACGTTTGGTCTGTGGCTCTGTAGGTTCGCTCTGCAGTCACAGACCAGACAGGCATGAAGATATCAATGTTACAGCATATCAGTTTTTACACAGTTCCTGAGGAATCTGCTAAGAAAGTGAAATTTACCCTATATTTGTGTCCAGCATGGACCTTTATACAGTGAATATGCCTGTAAGTTAATGCAGACTTCTTAGCAGAGAAACACTGTGCTGTTGTCTTTGTGGGAACAAGATTAAATACTGATGCACTGCAGCCTTTGGAATTTGTCTGACATACTGTACTTGTTACTGTACAGTCGTTGCAGGAAAGAAATGTGAATTACTCTTACTGTAGTACAATGAGACAGCAAAATGTGACAGCTAAGAATAGAAATGTTCACGGGAAGAGAATAACAGTTGTGACAAATGGGTTTGTTGCCTTGTCTCAAGGAAACAGCTTTATTCTGCATTTCTAAGAAAGGGATGAATAACTTCTTTGTGTGTTTCAACACAGCCCTGACATAGATGTAAGAGATGTATCTGTTCATCTTCTCCCTTAGCTTCATGCAGAACAAATGCATTAACTTCTTTGATGTTTCCCAGAAACTTTCCAGCTTAAACTCTGTTTTGAGCTTGCATTCTATAAACTACACGAGTAAATCCCAACCACAAAGCCTCTGTAAAGAAAGATTAGGATTACATTTTTGTGAGACAATACTTCATATTTTTCCTCAAAGCCACTAGCAGATAAGTGGAAATATTTTACCCATATATGAAATGCATGTGAACATAGAAAAACAAATATAATTTTTGAAAGTATCTAACAAATGATTCATGTATGACCGGACATGATCTCTATTGTCCACAAGTGTATTTCTTCACAAGAAACTCCAGAGCGTTAGGATTCTGCTTCCAGTAAACACAGAATAACTTACTTTGCACAAGATCCCAAAGTCCACCTGTCCCTAGTGGGACGTGGAGATACAGAAAGAAATTTCATCTAGTCCTTTCCCACTTTTCATCATTTCAGAAACTTCTGCTTTTTCCCAGGCACCAGATAGCTCAAAGTCAGAGAGCCAGGGGCAGCAAATGTCAGATGCTTATTGTTCCTGCTGCACCCTGTCAGGCTGCTGACGGGGAGAAACCACGTCCCCAGTGCTGCTGGAGCAGCCGAAAACTGGGCTTGAGCCAAACAAGGCACCACTCTGTGCTGCTTTACAGCAGCCTGGCTGGTGCTTGCAGGAGGAAGGTGTCCCTGCGGCGCTGCGGGACGGACAGTTCGCTCATCCGTCTTGGTCAGCCCCACTCCGTGGCTGCAGGCGGATGAGATGCCAAGGGGCCTTTCCTAAACAGGCTCCATCTCAACTGAAACGGTCTCGCCAGGGAGCTGCATGGGCAGTCTGAGCCCGGACCGAGCCCATCTGTGTTAGTCCTGCGAACTGAACTGTGTTTTCTCAGGGTGCAGCTAAGAGTGGAGTTCCTGTATGCTCTCCAGCAGCATGTCATTGTTCTAAAGGCCGTGTTATTTCCCAATATCCTACACAGGACTGCAGTTAGAATAAGCCCAAGCTTCCTCATTTGTAAAAAGCTTTTGTAAACTTGGTGCTCCCTGCCTAAAGGAAGGGTGAAAGTGAGGAGGAGTGTGCTTAAGTGTTGTAAACTTTAAATTGTTTTATTCTCCTGTTTATTATTTGTTGTTAGTAGCAGTAACAACATTGCTATCATGAAGCAGGTTGATAACAGTTGTCTGTCTCTCTTAGGTAACTAATCATGCAGTGTTGCATCTGCATTGGGCATAGTAGTACCACTGGACTTGGGAACTTGCTTTGGTAATCTTATCTGGATGGTTCATTACAGCCAAGCATACGTTAGTGGTAAAATTACTCCGCACAAGTATGTGGGATATCCACAGCGGTGTTGGGAGAGGTGAATGCTGTACTGGCCTCTCTCCTATATAGGCCACAGTGGTGCCAGAAAATGTGGTTTCAGACTTTTACAGATGCTTTGGAGAGGCTTAAGAACTGTACCAAAACAGCGCTGGTCTGAATTGTCTCTAATCAGTACTTGGACCTATCAGGCATGATTGTTAAACTGGTGAATAGATGTTACTGTAAGCGATCAGTCTTCCAGAGGCTTACAGAAGTTTTCTTCTAATCTACTTTGAATATTCCCTTAGAAACGTAGCTAAACTTGAACGATAACACACCACACACATAACCCTCCCAAAGAGTCAGAGATGTTCAAGACGCATTTACTTCTCTGGTTAACAAGATTGCACGGTCCATAAGCCTATTGCTAACTAACGAGCGGGTTTGCTGTTGCTAGACAATGCAGTTCCCAGTGTGTTGCCATCACTAGGCTGGCCATCACTCGGAATTGGGCTGGTATGCATCAGCTGGTTTTTGTCTGCTGGTCTGCTTTCTTTTTAAAAGGTCACATAGCATTAAGGGGTTGTCGTCAGGGCAGTTAGGAGGAGTGAAACTCAGTGAAGTCATCGGGAAGTGATCCATTAGTTGCTAACTTCATCAGTTAATAAAGTGTGTTTATTTCTCTTCAGGAAAGAAGAAAAGAATTTGAGAGCAACCTGCAGAAGGCTGGTTTGGAACTAGAAACAGAAGACAAGAAGGTAAAAAAAAAAAAAGGCAGGGGGGAAATAGGACCAAAGAAATAGATTTGCAGAGTACTAATTAATGTTATACCGCTTTGTTTCTTTGAGAAAAAATATAAAATATTCTAGAGGATTTTAGTGCAGTGTGACTAATTTAGGTGAAACAAGCTTAATATGTTTATTTGAGTTATTTTTCCAGTTATGTTCATAAGAATTGTGGAAGCAAAGTAATTTTGATTTGGGACAAAGTGATGGCTTTTGATTTCATAACAAAAAGAAAGCAGTTCCAAAATAGCTGTGACTTCATTTAAACCCATGTAAATGGGAAGTGTGCTCATAGCTAGATTTTGATCCTGTCTTCAGTCAGTCAGCATGCTCTTGTTTTCTGGCAGAGATTGAGTGGGGCAAAATAGCTCTTGAGGAAATTTAGATTCTGTAACATCCATGGATGGGAATACATTGAGCAACATGTTAAAAATACCTTCCGATTGCCATCTTCTCCTGTGTAGGCTGAGGAACACTAAAAGGATGTATACTGTGGGGTGAGGCCTGTGATTAGATTATTCCTTATCATAGCTGGAAGGGTGTAGGATACCCTAGCTCTGGCTGGCAGCTCATTTTTGCAAGGAGGATTGTCTGCTCTACTCTGCTGTATGAAAACTGGACCCTTCAAGAAAGAACAGCTTTATGGTCTGGCATGGTGGCCAGCCCTGCACAGCAAACCCTCGTATTTCCAGTGCACTCAGAGTGCAATGACAGTTTTCAGGGCTCAGTGTACAAGAGTAGTGTGGTTTGAAAAACCTTTGTGAGCTTTTAGTAGTGCAAAGGTTATCTTTATGAGCAATCATCCACTCTGATAAACCTTTCAGTTAAAAAAAAAATAATTCCTCCTATCCCCTCCACTTTCTTTAAAAAAAAAAAAAAAGCTTCCAAAAATATGTAAAAGGCAATGGATTTTGTATAAGAACTGTTCTCATAAACCTTGCAATAAAACACAGTTTAGTCTGATGTCAGATTTAATTTTCCTGGGGCAGGAATCTGAAGATGGCAAGATTTACTTTGTGAAGATCCATGCCCCATGGGAAGTTCTGATCACGTATGCAGAAGTGCTGAACATTAAAGTTCCCATCAGGGAAAATGACATTCCCTCAATGGTGGAGAACCCCCTGGATTGTATGCTTGCACCGCTCAGGCTTCCCGAGAAGGTGATGCACCCTGAACCGGATTATTTCACAGCACCGTTCAGCAAGGACAAGCAGGAGCTTTACCTCATTAATGACGAGAGCACTTTCTTCTCACCATCCATGAGAAACAGAATAGTACGTATGTGAATTTGTCTGCTTATGTTTACATGTAGATTTACACAGACGCGTAGGAATATTTGTGCACGGAAAGAGGATATAAACTGTGATTTCTGTGGGTAAGTACAAGGGAGCCTAGATGCCTGTGCATCTTTATTAAAAATCCGGAATAGTATTTGTTGGAATGGATCTTACGAATGTCTACAAGGCAAGCATGCCCTCAGCAGCGTCATACAGGGTAGGGCCTTCTGAAGAAACACTTTTTGCTTTTGTGTGTTATTCCTGCAGATTATACTCAGTGCACAACCATTATAGGTTTCTGTTAAATGGCCTTAAGCGGGAAAGGACTGAAATCCTTGTGTTTGAATCTCAGGTTAATTATATTCTTACACGTTGCCCGTATGGAACAGAAGAAGGGAAGAAAAAATTTGGGATTAAGAGACTGCTAAATAATGGCACCTATTCAGCTGCATATCCTCTTCATGATGTAAGTATTTTAGCTTTCTGCTCCCTTGAGCATTCTTGTACAACTCCCAAACAGTTGTACAAGAATCTTTTCTATACAAGTACAACCAACCTTGAATGCTAAGGAATTGTATGACAAAATTCAGAAATCATTGTCTGAAAAACAACTATTTAACCTTTTAAATATTTTAAAAATGCAAACTTTAGGTTGTTTAAACTTCTTGATTTCTGTTTAGAAACTAATTTTCATGCTTTTCTTTGTTAATTGAGAGTCACTAAGGGAAAAAAGGAAAACCAACGTCACAAACTGAGTATTTGACATAGCCAAGAATTTCTAAAGGGAGAGTTCTACAACCCAGAATAAAGTTACAAGAGCTGTCAGAAATTGCGGTTATTTGTACTGTTTAATTTCTAGGAAACTAAGAAAAATTTCTTTGTGTTTGACAGGTAGATACGTGATAGTGATGAACACGACTAAAGTTAATTAGTGTCAGAATTTCATTTTGTGTGTCCTTGCAACTTGAGAAACCGCAGCATGCAGTACATTATAGTGCTGTGGCTGGAGGCAGGAAACAACTTGAATTTATATCCCGTAGTTTATATCTCTCAGTGAAATGCTTTTGGCTGTGCAGTTTACAGTGAGAGCCTGATTCTGAAGTACAAAGAACGGGATTTAAATTTGCATTATTTTTAATGAAGCAGGAGTAAAGTAGTAGTTTTCTACTTTAGAGAAGCTTGAACTTCTGCAGTTGCGTATTTGAGTCTGTCGATGAGGTGTTTTGCTCTGATTTGCCCTCAGTGCCAGTATTGGAAGAAGGCAAATGATCCAAACTGTGACAATGAGAGATACACGCTGTACATGGAGTGGGCCCGGTTCCTGCGGTTCTACAAAGAACAGCCTTTGGACCTCATCAGGTAAAATAGGCCCTGTGTTTTTTTATATTTACTTGGTTTTTACTGGAATACAAGCGTGTTTTCATTTGTAGCTTGATCCTGGTGGGAAGTTTTTGCTACTTGTAAGATCCGATGAGAATCAGATACTTAATTGAGCAGTAGGTCCTTGGAGGACACGTCACAGGTTTTTACTAGCAACAGGAAAAATGCTTTATCTCAAATCAAGCGTCTTTCAATCCAGTCAGCACTCCTTGGGTCAGGTATATTACAAATAATTTAACTGTAGAGGAGCACATACGAAGAATACCTTGCATTTAAAATCAATATCTGCCACAATTTTAAAAAATAGGTTTGAAATTTTGAAATTTCAACATAAACATGAAAAAACACTGATAAAATCAGTTTCTGAAGCTTGACTCTTAATTCGGTACTAAGCGCAAGTTTAAACAAACTTTGCCTAAGATCTCTTTGATTCTGCTCATATGACATTACAAAAACATTACTTTATTCGTGGGTTACAGTTGCCCCATTCGTAGCACAACCAGTTGTATTGCTGTGAAGTACCCATTTGTTCTAACCACTTGACAAAAACTGTTGTGCCCAGTTTCATTTTGTGTAACTCCATGGAAAATCAAAAAAATAAATCTTCATTTACATTATCCTGTGGGAAGGAGAAAGAGTGATTTTAAAGCTGAAGCTTCTGCTAGGAGGAAAAAAGGGTCAAAAGAGGCCATATATTTTGTTCATTCAGCTTGTGTACCTTCTCACATCTTGCTTCAAATCCCATTTTTCCAGTGTATGTCAAGGCGTTTACTCTTCTGTTAAATGAGAGTTTTGCCAAGTGTTTCATTTTGACTCTGTCCAGTTTTAAACTTTGCTTTTATTCCTATTAATTGCATTTTTTTGTGTGTGTTCAGGAAGTACTATGGGGAGAAGATTGGAATCTATTTTGCCTGGCTAGGATTTTACACTGAGATGCTGTTCCTTGCAGCGGTTGTTGGCTTAATCTGTTTTCTTTACGGCTTGTTTACAATGGATGAAAATATGAGCAGGTGAGTGTAATGTTGAAAATCTCCTGGGCTTATAATGGGAAAAGCTAGGCAATATGAAAACTTTGTTATTGCAAAAAATGAAGTAACAAGCTGTTAAAGCTTGTTAGAGCAGACAAATTGTTCTTCAGCTATCTTTATTGACAGAAATGGTGGTGGAAAGCTGATGTAGAACTTGTGGCTATTAATTAGTAAGACTCAATTTGTAGATGAAAAGCAATATTTTATTGCCATTTGGCAATAGCTTTTTATATTGGAGTACCTGCAATACATAAAGTCCTCAGAGTACCACTGACATCTTTCAGAATTGTTTGTTTCAAGTGTTTATTGTTGCCAAAAGCTTTTCTATTTTAATATATCTTGCATAGTAGTTCACTGACCTTTTTGTGTAGGTCATCATTTGTACTAACTACCAAAAGCATGAGTACAGTACAGATCAGCAGTGTTCTCCTGTCAAAGAGGGATCCAGTATCTCAGAAGCCAGAGTTGGCTCTTTTTTAAATCAGCACTGTATTTGTTTCTTCAAGGATCCCAAGATTTATTGTATTCAGGGCTCTGGGGAGGTGGGATGGGGAGAGGAACAAGAGGGTTGCCATTTCATTGCTCAGTGTTTTTTATAAGAAGTCTTCCAGAAAATTCTGAGCTTTAACCATAAAAGAAGAATAACAGGTTAAAATTCTCATCCGTTCTATTGAATTATGTCATTTTGAGACTTAAGTTTTAGCTTGGTTCAGAATTCACCTGGGAATACGGCTGTATGTGTTCAGATTTCTCTGGATACTGAAGGACTATCATAAGATTGTAAACTTTATCCACCGTAGTAGTTGAAGTAGCAAATTTTACTGTAAATAGCAAAGCTGAATTTATACCTCTGCTTTTGGAAAAGGTGTTATGAACGCATTACTAACCTGATGAGAAAACATGGTTTATATCTCACTTGAAAGCAGTTGATGTGCAGTACAGCTCCTTACAGACCTCTGGTTCATTAGTGATAAAATCAGAAAGCCCGTACTAAGTGAATTGAGAGTTCTCCTCCTTATAGCAGCTGCTACATTTCTGGGCTTGTCCTGACCAACTACAAGTTAAGACCAGTGAATCGGACAAGACTTGGCATCTTCTCTGTTGAACTTTAAACAAATGAAGCTCTTAATTTGTTTTAAAAAAAAAAAAATCATATAGCAGCTCTTAAGATGCTATGAAAACAGATCCTGTAAATGGTTTTCTCCTCAGCAAAGAAATCTGTGACCCTGCAATTGGAGGAGAGATCATCATGTGCCCTCTTTGTGACCGAGAGTGTGAGTACTGGAGGCTGAACACCACCTGCGCATCCTCAGAGGTCTGTATCTGGTTCTCCAGCCACTCGTCATTTGTGTTCATACCGAGAACTAGTTTGGTGCTGACCTGTTCCTGTGTATTCCGTTGTAGTATTCGCATTTGTTTGACAACGTGGCAACTCTCTTTTTTGCCATTTTCATGGGCATATGGGGTGAGTACATTTGATAAGTTTTATGTCAAGCAATAAGAGGATCTTAGCCAGACTGCTGAGGGACGCTGGAGGTGGGAGGAAGGGGAATAATGGCTTCGCTTTAATATCCTGCCTCAGATGCAGAAGTGATGAAAGAATCAAATCAACAGTGGGATTTAACTTAACCAAAACCAAACTAAATCCAGCAGTTATCTAGGATGTCATAGTCGTTGCATACTCTGACTGAGAAAATTTGTTTCTTTCCTTAGTACCCTAAGATAGAGTAGTCCAACCTTAGACAGTCCTTGGGAGAGCGCCTCAAGTTATCAGTGTCCTGCCAAGGGAGGAGAGAGCTTTTCTGTCCTTTCACTGGAGGGTGGTCCAGCACTACTGCTTCATTAGCAGTAATTTTAGGATGACGATCAGTTCGTTTCTACTCCAGTGAAGGCCATACATCATAGTATGTTTTGATGATGCGGGTTACTGTAGTTATTGTTTCTTGTTTCCTTAAATACCCTGTCTCCTGTTTCATACTGTTTGTGTGAAATATCATAATTGAATCTGCGATAGTATAGATATTTCATTGACATGCAGAGATCTCTGTGTGCTAATAGAAAATCTATTTGTGTTACTTGTAATCGAAGGACCTCACCGCTGTTTTTTTTGTAGAGAATTCTCAAAAAAAATCGAATAAGATGATGATGTATGGCTGTTTTCCTAAACTTTTCTTGGTTTTAAGCGCAAGCCTTAGAGTGACATGGATTAGTCATTCAGGAAGTACCAGCAAAGGTTTTAAAACTGCAAAAGATAAGCTTTCCTGTGTTTGTGTAAACTGCAAAGCCTCTCCTCTTCAGATAAGAACAATCAGATTACCAAAGGCTTACATTCTAAAGTAGTTTATAGAAGGCTTTTAAAATGTTTTATAATATTATACATTTTACAGTTGTTTCTTTTATAAATGAAATCTGTTCCCTCTAGTGTCTTAAAAATTTTTTAAGCCAGCCTCACTCTTGATCATATGAAAAGCATCAGATATTCACTGTCTTTAAAATGACCATAATATCAAATAATGATCAAAAAGCAACAGAAGTTTTGAACATACTACTTGAAAACAGTTCTGTTTATTTGCAGTAGTTGTTCATGTGTTCCAGGTCTATACACAAGCAGTTAGTTGAATTATCATGTTCCTTTGTTAACTCTGTGTTGCTCTTTGCATATGAAAAGTAGTTAAACGGTAATTGATCCTGGTAATTGATCCATTAACCATGGAAATTCCCATATCCTGTCTTGGCATCTCCCTTTTCATCCACTTCTGGAATTCAATTAACTAATAAATTACTTAAACCATATTATGGCCTTAGCTGTGAACTTTAATACATGGGCACACTGTGGGGATAAATAACAGACTGCAAATAAAAGCCAGTGCAGAACTAAGTTTAAATTGGTTCGTGAACTTGTTCCCTTCTCCCTTAACTGTATTTTAATATTTCCAAATTGCAGTTACACTTTTCTTGGAGTTTTGGAAGAGACGGCAAGCTAGACTGAAATACGAGTGGGATTTGGTTGATTTTGAAGAGGAACAGCAACAACTCCAGCTGAGGCCTGAGTACGAGGCAAAATGTACCCAGAAGAAGAAGAATCCTGTAACTCAGGTAATGAGCCTGCTTGGTTAGCGTGCATGCAGATTCAGCTGTGTGCCGGAAGGTAGTCTGATAACATGTGAGGTCTGCCTCAGGAACGAGTCTGTATCTCATGGCTAGGTAAAGGTTTGTATGACACATGTAAGCAATGCCACATTTGTATCGGAGCCGGGCAGTCCCTCAGCTATTACAGAGCAGTGTTTATGGGAGCAGCGAGTTTGGCTTCAGTATGTAGGAGGTGATGCCAACCACACCCTCCCTGAACACAATAGATTGCGTCGAATATCAAAGCAGAATTTAGTAGCACAGTGTTTTCTCGCTAAAGGCATACAGTTGATGAGTGCTGAGGTTTGAGCTCTGATTGACTAGTGGTCAGAGATAAACACTTCAACGTCCAAAAGCAGTGCAGCTGTGTTAGTATCAATAAGTCCTGGAGCTGATAGCCCTGCCTGTCAAGGGTCTGTTTACCCTGGCGCAGGGCCATTGCGGTGTGGCCATCCTGCTTTTCAGTCTGAAGGCAACAGTAACCAAGAGCGATCCGCGCTTCAACCTCCTCTTGCACATGAGAGGCACGCCCCATCTCTTGGATTTCTTTCTGCAGCTGTCTTTTGTTATCTAGGCTTTTGACACTGAATAAATGAGAACATGGGGGGGTTTTGCCTCTGGAGTGTGCATAACTTTCATTAGTTGTTCTCTATTGATTTTAATTTCCAACGGAAATTGATATATTACATCAGGAATACAAAGGCAAAGTTTATAGCTTTCACTTGGCTAGCACCATCCTTACAGTGCTCTTCACATTCCAAGGTAGCAGTCTCTGAAATGTTCACACCTTTAAAAGCACTCTTCCTCATCCCTGCACAACATACAAAGAAGCAGTTGTCTTGATGTAAAAATACAAAAGTGGGACTAGCTGTGGTTTTGTTTCTGATATACAATTACTTTGGGGAACACTAAATAGATGAAGGTTGCTGAAGCTCTTTGTCTGAAATCTAATTGAGATACAATTAACCACACTATTTAACTCTGTTAAATGCTCTATGTAAATACCTACTAGATGTTAATTGTATTCATTTAAATTTAATTTAGGTAGGAGTTATTTGACAAATTTAGGGATCAGATGGTTGCATGCCGGTGCAACATCTACCACCTCAATTTGCCGTATTTTTAAATTATCCTTCCTCTTCCTAGAGTTCTATATAAATTGCTTATTTTCACTAGTCATAAGTAGACTTGGATAACACAGTCTTCAGAAAAGAAATAGAAGCTTAGCCAGAACATGGGAAGCATCAATGCTATGTAAATAGTAGCCTTGTCTTTCAGGATTTCTCTCCTTAATTATTAGGAGATACATATACTAATCGTATTTCTCATGAGAGACAGTTTTTCTGTCTCTCCTGCACATGCAGCATTAATGCTGTCGTTCTTACACCTGTAACTTGTACCCTGTAGTCACACAGAGATCTTTGATAACCACGTGCTGTGATTTTGAGTGTAGCTCTGCTGAGGTATTGATTTCTGCATGCTCAGGAAAACATTTCAGGTAAATCAATTTTTGATTAGTGAGGTCAGCTAATTGAAATCAGATTCCTGCCTATTGTGTATTATTTGCTAGTTTGCACCCCTGTGTATGCTCAGGCTCAAAACCTCCGCTTTCTTCTGACTTGGCTGCACAGTGACCAAAACCAGCTGAACCTCTGTGGTTCTGCTGCAGTTGAAGGAAAGAGCAGGGGAAGTCACACTGGTGATTCGCGGCCCCTGTGTGCTCTGAAGTGAGGGCTGCAGCAGAGGGTAGTGGTGTGAGGACAGGGAAGTCATGGGCTGACTCGTGGACAGGGGTTACGTACAGCGCGGACCAAAACCCACAGTCTGGCAGGTGAATCCGCTGCAGCGGGTTGCAGCCAGAGATGGCATGGGTGAGGTGCATTTGTGTAGCTGTCCTGAGGGTGATTGTTCCCTCTAAGTTCATGCAGATCTCTTAGCTAGGTAGGATGGTTTATTTGGACTTTGCTTTGGAAATATTGGACTGTAATGTATTTTTCTTATCTTACAGTGAGATACAGCACTGTTCTGTGCTTTCTAAATATGCATTAACAATTGCCATAAAAATGCAATGACTGTACAGTCCTTTATTTTTATGTCACATCAATTTATTGCCTTGGTGGATTTTTAGAAGCTTTTGTGCAGCAGGGTTTAGCAGTGATCCTTATCAATACCCAGTTACAGCAAACCATACAGGTTAGCCATGCTGTAGTGTAATTTTCTTTCATTAGATAAAGTGCAATACTGAACACATGAAAGGGCAGTGATTTTCAAATAAGTTAATTCTGCAGACTGGTAGGATATTATGGATACAGCTCACTGAGTTTCTTGTATCCCAAGGCTGGCTTTGCTTTGCTCAGAAAATCGTTTCCTCATTATTCGTGGCCATAATTCAAAGTTCTAGGTGCATTGAAACAGAAATTGCGCATCTTGAGGCTTTAATTAACACCTCATTTGATCACTATGCTAAGCTGTTTAGCTAGATCATAGCTAAAATCTGGTTTTGCTGATTACAGTAGAATCTTAATTTACATAAATAATGATGCATTCCATTTAGACAGGCTCTATCACTGCACATTATTACCTACAGCTTGTTCTAAAGTAGAAGACTTGTTAAATAGCCTAGAATGTGTGAAACATTTGTTCTTAATATAGAATAAACATTATTTATTAATACATAACAGATACAAAGTGTTATGAGCCTATGTAAAGCCACTTGATATCTGTGCTTGTGTCTTATCTTCAGCTGGTTTTTTATAGCTCTGTTAATAGAGCCTTTAACTGTTATCATCATCAAACAGCTTGTTGTGACGTGAGACTACAGTACTGATAATTGTGTTTAGTGAGTATACTCAGGCAGTATATCTCTCCTGAGAGAACAGCACATTACACTTCGAACACAATCACACTGTATGAGCATGCTGATTGACTGAAGACTGTCGCCATCAAGAAGCAACGTTTGTGAAACAACTGCTGCCTGGCTGTGTCAGGGAGAAACGAGCAACCCCGTTGTCGTTGTATTCAGAGTTACACCTGTGCATTGGACACGTTCTGGGCTTTTGTGCAACAGAAACTCCCTTCAACAACATTTTACAGGTTAAATATCTTCTGTGGTCAAAACAAGCATTTCCTTATTGATACTATACTTCCTATTGCGCTCGCCTGTAGCCCCTCTGTCCAGGAGCAGTGTAAGCATACTACAGTGCCTTGTCCCAGAGATTTATCAAATTCAGATTAGTTTTTACTAAATCTTCTTCCACTGGCATTAGTTCTTAAATGATCTTTTCTTAATATGTGTAATCTGATATTTTAGGAATTAGAATTGGTTGCGAAAAAGAGAACTTCATACGAACACGGAAAATTGTTCATATGCTATATGGGGATACTCACTTGGGTAAGACCTGGCTGCCTGACGCTGCAGCGGAGACTGGCAACTAATTAATGCAGCTATTTCTTCAATTAAAAAAAAAATGATGGAGTGGAGGAGAACGCTCTCTAGCTGTGTGGAAAAACATGGTACATCCAAGTAAATGATCATTTTAAGAAACCTCAACATGAAGAATTTCTTCAAAGTCCAGTTTTGGACTCACAGCTGTGTGACAGCTGACCTAGCATTACAGAACTAGTTCTCTCCTGTTCATCTAATGAAGGAGTTGGCCTTTTTGCTTCAGCCACTGATTGATTTTTTGCAAAGGTTTAACCATTCTTTCCAAGTACTGTCTTTACTGTTAGCGTTGTTATGGCCACTTCTGTGCTGATCTTTTTTTTCCTCCTCAGCACATTCAAAATCATGCCATATCTGCCCTTTTAGAGAGGGGGATTCTGCATGGTTTTCCTCGGATGTGGGCACTTTCACACAGCTGATGAGAGCTCTGTGTGCTGCTTGACGTTGGAATAAGATGATGGATTTGTGAACTGTGCTGTGCTTGCTTGACTGTTTCAGGAGATGGAGCCTTATTTGCCTATAACTAGCCAGGCTGTGCGGTTCTGCATCTCGGGAACTACAGTGTTGTTCTGGGTGAGCATCTTTTTGAATCATCACTTTAACATATATCAGAGTTGCTGATTGTCACTAATCATGATGTTAACACAAACTGGTTTTAATAATGAAATTAACACATGCTTTTATTATTGTCCTGCAGATTTTCTCCTGTCATGCAAAATCAATTCAGATTAAAAAGAAAAAAAAAACAAAACAACCTTGGAAATCTTTCATTAATTTGTAATTTGATTGGACATTTTAGCATAGGGGTAACATTTTCTCTGGCTTATATGCTGTTAACAGACCATACTGAAAAAAATCTGTAGTAAAGGCAAAAAAAAATATTACTCACTACAATGAAATATCTACATATTCCTCTGTAGAAATATCTGCAGAGTGAATTTCAGGGCAGACAATATAATCTAACTTGTCCCTTCCATCTCCATTTCTATGAGTCTGTATCCTTCTGCATTATTTTTTTTTAACATTGGTATTAGATTGTCTGCTTTTCTTCTGTTAACAAAATAATTTAGTTGGGTTTAATGAGTCTAATATAACAAAGTATTTTGCCTCTGTACTTTGCATTTCAGTGCTGCTGAACTCATACCTACAAAGAACAAAATTTTAAAACTATAAAGCATGATGATTTACATCTTATTGCAAAAATTGCATGCATGTAGCTACACTGAGCTGTAAGCGTACTTCAACTCCCTATCCTCTCCTTAGGTGTCTCTGATTATAGCTAGCATGATAGCTGTGATCGTGTATCGTCTTGCTGTGTACGCTGCCTTCGCCAGCCTCATGGAGAACACTCAAACCCTACAGCCCATCAGCGGGTTACTGACCCCTCAGCTGGCAACTTCCGTCACGGCCTCATGCCTGAACTTTGTCATCATCATGATACTGAATTTCTTCTATGAGAGAATAGCCATCTGGATTACTGATATGGGTAAGCAGTGTACTTGAAGACAAAACTTTCAAGGAATCACTAAAGGTAGAACCCATCTAGAGGCTTTCGATGTAGTTGTCCTCACCTTGGGCACAGTGGGAGCACTAGGATGTTAGTCTGTAGCTTGCAGCAATGACTCAGTTGTGTCCGTGGCCATACTGAACATTTTCCCTGTGTTTGAATAGTTACCATAAACTGATTTCTCTTAGTATAATGTTTGCTTCTATTAAACCAGTCTACAGAGACAATCATAGTTCTGAACATAATGAAAAATTATCACGTGTTATATTAGAGTCACCAAACCAAGATCAAACTACCTTGATTGAGCAGTATTTCAGTTTGAAATCCTGAAGATAATTTTTTTTAAAAAACATCACAGCTTTCACAGCCATCTTTATAAGAACAAGACTAAATAATCATGTCTCTTACTTTAGTGGAAAACATAGGCGTTATTTCCCTTAGCTATGGATTTACAGTTTTGGAGTGACACAGATGGAAGGCAGAGATGGAGCAGGTTGAGAAGTTGGGCCCAACATGTGTCGTTGTGGCTGTAGCTGTTGGTAGCATTACCTGCAGTAGGCTCACTGCAGAGCTGGAGGAGCCAGCAGGCTGAGAAAGATCTGTTGCTTTTGTAGCAGATTTTATGTTTGACTGTTGTTTGTTTACTTGCTGGAAATATACTTCCCTAGAGCCCTTCTTTATGTATCTTTCTTTGTTTGCCCATAATTATTTACAAAAAACAAAACAGATAAACGTAATTTTTAAAATCTTTTTTGAAGGGCATGAATTATAAGCATGAAGGCTCAGCCATGTTATTTTCCTGCTTGCGAGGGTGGAGGATTAATTTCTCGTGTGTCAGCCCTGGCTGGGGTTCTGGGTTGCAGAGGGAAGAGATGATTATTTGTACGGGACTGCTGCCCTCCTCTGGCGGCCGGGGCAGCTGCGCCCGGCCCGGGCTCACACACGGTTGGGTCCAGGGTGGGAAATGTCTGTGGCTGTCAGGAGTGTCTGTTCTAACTCCCTTCACATTCAGGTATAACCCACCTCTGGCGCTCTAGACCCTGAGTGTCTAACATCAACTTTTGAACAGCTCACTGCCAATAAAAATATTTTGATGAGCTGCATCCCAGGCAGACTACCTCACCTGAGTACTGCCTCTGTCGTACACTCTGATGTCAGGTTCCCAGTAAATACCACATGCAAACTCATGCCAAGCTTGGAAGCATTAATTTACTTGGATATATAAAGTAACTTTGCTGTAGGGCCAGTGAGTTCAACACGTCTGCCAGGTCCTGACCAATTCAGGGGAACATGAATGCTTGTGGTGTATTTTCTCCCCCTTTCTCCCAGCTTGAATTGGCTATGTGTTATTGTTTAACAGGACATTTTACCAGTAATGTGCTTAGGGCTTCCTGCCACCTTTAAAAATGTAAACATGATGGAGAATGTGATTACAAAGGCAGCAAAATCTTAAGTAAAGGCTCAGTGGTGTTCAGTACCTCCAAGATGCCTGTATCCTTCCCCTGTATCCTGTTCTGCGCTGCCTTTTGAGTCTCATCCTTCAGAGGCACAGGACCCACCCACTTTCTGCTGATTTCAGTACAAGTTATACACATACAACATATTGAAAAAACCAACTGTTGCATACTTCTCTACCACAAACAAAAATTCTTTACCATGTGCATTGCCAACAGTGAAATTTTCATAGTCTAGAAGACCCTGCTAGTTAATGTTTGAGGTTCATCTTGGAGCTGCTGAAAAAATAGTGTAAGATTTTGGGATGGACGAGTGCTAGTGGCAAGTATAAAGAAGGGGAAATTGAAGCTTATAAATGTTTCAAGAATTAATTTAAGTTGCCTGCCTACTCAGACATTGTAAATTAAGTGCAGGGTGTTTGAGAGCAGGAATTCCATCTGCTGAACTGTTTTTAGGTGGTTTTCTTTTTTTCTTCTTTTTCCTTTGGGATGTAAAGGCACAGTGGGTGATGAGTATTTATGAATCTTTATCCTTTTAAAGGGAATAAGGGAAAATAAAATTACTGTTTTCTGCTTTCACAGAGATTCCCAGAACTCACATGGAGTATGAGAACAGGCTCACTATGAAAATGTTTCTGTTCCAGTTTGTCAACTACTATTCATCCTGCTTCTACGTGGCCTTCTTCAAAGGGAAGTTTGTTGGTTACCCAGGTGCCTACACATACATGTTTAATCGCTGGCGAAATGAAGAGGTAGGACTTTCATGATTAAGATGGATTGAATAATAATAAAAAAGCTTACAAAGAAATCCAAAACCCAGAGACCATTTCCATTTTTACTGTCTTTCTTCAACCTAGAGAATCACTTTTAACACCTGTAGTGAGATCCACTGGCATTTCGGGAGAACTGGGGCCAAGAAAAGCTTTTCGATTCTTCAGTCTTGTGACTGAGAGACACAGATTTTCACTGCTGGTGTTTCCCTGCCAAGCAATGGCAGGAAGAGTCCTTGGAAGCCCCTCCATCAGCTGCAGGATGACCAGCTGAGGCCCAGCTCATTCCAGACAAAACCTGCAGCTGCAATTTGTGACTGCACATGTCGGAGGGGATAAAGAGTTTAAACTATTTTATTATTATTCAGTATTAAGTATTAAAATAAGTATTGTCCTAGCAAGTTTTAGGAACTCCTTTCTTTCATTTATACAGTAGTAGAATATGGTTTATCTGGGTCATGTCCATTAACCGCCAGTTTGTCTCTGCCAGTGTGATCCTGCGGGCTGTTTGATAGAACTGACGACACAGCTCACCATAGTCATGGCTGGCAAACAGATCTGGGGAAATATCCAGGAGGCCATTGTACCGTAAGTTCTCTCTTACACTGAGGTGCCCATGTTATAGACAGAGGAAATTCGGGAAGGAGCGATAACAGATATTGCTATATGAAGAAGCTAAGAAAAGATTCTGTAAATTAAGCACAAATTCTGACAAGTAGACTCATTTTATAAAGGCTTTTTGCCTCTTTTTGTGAAAGCCATGCTTGTAAAAGCATATTGCAACGAGAATCTTGCTTAGAGAAAGGGATGCTTGATCTGCTTCTCTCATTGTTAACTTTTTCTGTCTATACAGCTGGATTTGTAACTGGTGGGGACGCCGGAAGGCCAGAAATAATCCAGAAAATTTATACAGTCGTTGGGAGCAAGACCATGATCTGCAGACATTTGGACCCTTAGGCCTGTTCTATGAATATCTAGAAATGGGTAAGTTTAAAAATACACGTTTAGGAATTGAGGACAAGACACCTTGTACTGACACTTCCAAAAAGACAGCTTCTCAATTAATTCTTATGGGTTGATGCCACCACTTTCATCTGGTAAACAGTAGACAATTAACTGCTGGAAATCATTAAATAGGTCAGTCCAATTAAAAAAAAAAAAAAAAAAAAGCTGCCTTTGTATCTTAGACTGCAGGGAATTTCACTGAAACGATGCAAAGCTTGTTTGTTTCCCTCATTTGAATAGTGAACATTATTCTCGGTGCAGCCAGCTGTCTCAGTGTCTGTTCTGTTCTTGTTCCCAAGCAAATTCTCAGCTGATGTCAGTGGAAATTGTAGGTGTGGGATGAGTGCCAAATATCCTGTAAGGATGTGTACTGCAGAGATGAGATCTGCAAACTGGATCATAGAGAATCTGTTTAGTTTTAGGTTTGCGCTGATTAACGCTTCCATACAGTCCAGGAGACCAGCAGAGGGAGCATGGGTGACAGAATAGGATTTTTTAAAGGTAACAGGAACAGGTCAGCATATGAAATTACTTCACAAAACCTGAGAAACTAAAACTAGAAATTAAATCTAAAAGATGCTAAAATAAATGAGTATGTGTCTATTAAAAGGACAAAAGTTGTTGAAAAGTGGTCCCTTGTATTGTTTTATTTGTACAGAAATAATTATTGCCTAGAGCTTTGCAGCTGTACTATTGTCTTTTCATATACTACATGATATTTCATACAGGGTTGTGATCCTGTGAAGTTCATATGCTAAGAACCAATAGTGTTGTCAGCCATGCCTGTTAATGGATGTCCTTGCTCTCACTGAATCAGAACTGAACCTGTGCACTCCAGCATTGTCCTGGGGCTGCTAAGCTATAGGGAATTTTGTTGCTTGTCTAAGGTAGAGAACTGATCACTGAAATCATGGAAGAGCTGATGACTGGCGGATGGGAATTTATTTTTAGACACTGCCTAAACCAGACAAGATGTTCTGTTTTCTGTCTTTAAAACATAGTGGCAGTGTTGGCTCTGCACTGAGGACTGTCACATTCTGTACCAAGAGACATTTCATTTTTGGTAACAAGGGAGTTATTTTATGTATTTTGTTTGCAATTCTTAAACTAATGTTAAGACTCCCTGGTGGAACTATTACATACAGAATTGGTGCTAATATTTTGACCAAGCCAATAACAATAGGTGGAGGTAAGGTTGTGATAAAAGTGAAAGTATTTCCTATTTTTCTTTTAGGAGTGTAGCTGATAAGTAAAAGAACAGGCTTGCTTTGTACAAACTGCAAGAGAGGAAAACTAGCCTGTTCTTGCTGTTGGTTTTTTTTTGTTCTTATCTCGTAATTCAGAAATTTGACATGTGAGTACATTCCCATTGCCCTGTAGTTGCATTCCATTCAGGAGAGAACTGCAGCACCATGGAAGGATTGGTATCCAGCACTGCTGGCAGCGTTGTTTACCAGGACCCCAGTGTCCTGTTCCCTTGGGTGCTGCCAAATGGCAGCCCTATGAAACTAGAGAAGTCTTGGGCGTGGGGCAGGTTGTTGCTTAGCTCAGGCCAGGGCTGGAGAGGACTCGTGCAGCGTGACAGAAGTTCACCACTTGTCTGCACGTGGCAACTTGCATGTTTTATTGTGACCCTGAGGGTACTTTTGTAGAGGCAGATTTTGACACTTTTCTTTTCTCCCTTGCAGTCATTCAGTTTGGATTCATTACTCTCTTCGTGGCATCCTTTCCCCTGGCTCCCCTTCTTGCTCTGATGAATAACATCCTGGAGATTCGAGTAGACTCCTGGAAATTAACCACTCAGTTCAGGAGACCTGTGGCTGCGAAAGCACATAGCATAGGAGTTTGGCAAGAAATCCTGAACGGAATGGCCATCTTGTCTGTTGTCACTAATGTAAGTATGTTAACTGTGCTACATCACCTTGATTCTTCCATGTACTCAGAATTTGCAGATCTAAAAATCAACTGATGTTTTTTTTCTGTCATCAGTGGTATTCACTTTATCACATGCCACCCTAAGGAGATATGGTCAAGCCATTTGGGTGGTATGGCTTGTCCGTATGTTGACAACATCCAGCTCCAAATGCATATTTCACTGGACCATAATCTTACATTCACTTGTCTGTCTTCTACAGTGTTTTGGAATGGCATAAGCCAGTCTGAAACTTAGTCTGATGAAGCACAGTGATTGCCCAGAGGGGACTTGTCGGGGCCAGGAGAGGTAGATTAATTCTGTCAGCCAGATGATGTTCCTATCTTGTCGTTATGAGTCCTATTCACCGGGAAATTCTACTCATTCATCTGCTTCTGGGTGCCCCTATGGGGGCAATGGCTCAGAGTACTTTTTAAAAACTGGAAACTAAATGCTATGCTAGTATTTAGTCTTAAGTATAATGTAAAGCAGACTGCTGAGCAAGAGTTGCCTCTTTTTAATGTAGAATAGTAAACAGTATCAGATCTATAAATGTCTTGGGCAACAAAACCGCCGGCAGCTATTGCCTAATGAGCAAGGTATCTGGGCATTTGAAGTATCTTGGGTTTCAAGGCAAAATGTGCTGGTAGCCATTGTTTCCTTTTTAAATACAGCTGGAGACAATGTCTCCCTTCTTCATGAAGTTAGTGATCCCCCACTGGATTTGAGTTCATCCTTTCTCACAAGAATTCAGACCCACACCTCCTCTTTCACTGAGGAGTGCTGTTATCACTGATAGAAGATGGTTTGGTGTGGGGGGATATTTGGGATTTGGTGCCTCTTGTAAGGACTACCCACATGTTTTGTTCACCGAACGTTTAAAATCAGCTGGTCCTTGCAGCAGAGGCTGCAAGTCAGCATCCTTACCAAGGTAAAAAGCCCTAGTCATGCTCCTCCTTGCTTAAAAGATCCCGGTTTATGCCACAGAGTCACAGTGCCAAAACCCCTTCATTAATCTGCTCACAAGTTTTCTGTGTCACTTCCTTAATTTCTTTTTTTCAATTTCTTTTTCAGGCTTTTATTGTTGCATTCACGTCAGACATGATTCCTCGTTTAGTTTACTACTATGCTTATTATGAAAATGAAGACTCGCCTATGTCTGGGTACATCAACAATAGTTTGTCAGTGTTTCAAATCTCAGATTTTCCTGACAGAAACAAGCCTAAACTGAATCCAGAAAATTTAGTCATATGCAGGTTGGTGTTGGTGTAATAATAAATATTTTATCATTTTGTTTAGACTACAGCATAAAAAATCAATGCAGATCTGAGTAGTCTGCTAGAAGTTAAATTATGTCATTCTCATCATTGTGAAGTGAGAGGTAATGTTTAAGCTGTTAATAAGGCAGTGCTTGACATGGTAAGAGAATCATGCCAGTAACAAACAAACAAAAAAAATGACCTTTTTGTTGTTTAAGAGAGTCTCATTGCTAACTTTTTTTGTTTGTTTTTGGTTTTTTACTTAATTCAACTATTGATTTTTGAGTGATGGAGATTTATGTCCCTAAGGTATGCAACTTTTGCCTGTATTTTCAACAGTTTTTAGGCTGCAATGCTTAAGTGGACAAGGAAGTATCCATAAAGGAGCAGTTTAGATTCCAAAGGTGAAAATTATATTTAAAGTCAATTGTTATTGTGCTAGATGTCACTGGGGATCTGGGCCATCCTGCTTTCCTTTAAAAAAAAAAAAAAAAAAGTCCCCTCTTACTAGAAGCAGCATTGGAGGTTTCTGGAGGAAGTTGGAGAAGTCCATGGTAAAAGTATTGACTTGATTTAAAAAAAAAAAAAAAAAGCCCCAGCACTTTAAGAGGAACCTACATTTGTATGATGTTTTAACTTTAAAGCCACAGGAGTCCCTATCCTGCTTGTACATGTGAGCGTAGAACATGCACTCAAGACTGTCCTTCCATTAAACCCTGCATCTGTCCACTACATGATCTGTCAACATCTGTCACATTTATTCAGTACTTGTCCGTTACTGTGCGGTACATTCCATCACTGTCCTGTATTATTTGATCAGTGCCTGAAGAAAAGTAACCTGTGTACAAAAGTTCACTTCACGCACCTCCTCGTCTCCGCTCAGTTGCTGTGAGTGTGAGGGTGTTTAAGCAGACATAAGATAGAAACAAATTGAGAGGCAACCTTTTTCTGCAAAAGGAAACAGACCATTTAAAACAAGATGAAAAGGTTCTGTAAGTGACAGCTGTATCTGCCTGTAAATGTCACTGAGCTTGTAGGCTGTCTCAGACTGAATATGACATTTCACCTTTGCATGTCTTTCTGTCCAACAGGTACAGAGACTATCGATATCCTCCGGATCATGAGAGGAAATATTTACACTCGATGCAGTTCTGGCACATTCTCGCTGCAAAACTGGCCTTTATAATTATTATGGAGGTATGTTCCCTACAAAATTCCTTTCCAAAATTGGTACCTTATAGATTGTCTGGGTAGTTACTGATGTTACAGAAAATAGAATTGCTGAGAGCATAAAATAGTTTCTTCCCTAAGTAATACCAAATATTCACATCCTAAATGTTTACTGCAGCTAGGTCTTTTAACTCCATGGAGTTAACCCCAGAGTAAGAACAGTGAAGACAGCTGAGGAGACTGCTAAATTTGGTCGAAATAAACCTGCAGAATAAAAAAGGTCTTTACGCAGATGGAAGAGACATGAGCCACCGGGACTAGCACTTCCACTCCTGTTGGCTTCATTAAAGAGCTGTATGTGGGATGACTGATCAAGATCCAGGATGCATTTTGTAGTGATGTATATTGGCTAAAAATAGCTAAATCCATAATTTGGGTGATTGGCACTTCAGTATTAAGCCACTGTCTTGCAAGTTCTGAAGGGAAAAGGGAGTTGTTAAAGTGCCTTGCTCATCACTTTTCCTACTCTGTCTTACCAGTTCTCGATAGCTGACCATTATCAGCACGGCCATGTGAATTTTCCAACAAACCACACACAGGTATTAGAAAGTGATGCCAGGGATTCAGAACCTGACACTTTCCTCTTGGGTTTGCCAATTCATAAACGGTTTGGAATTAAAGTTTCTGCATAAAAGGAAGTGTTTCAATCTTCATGCACATCTCAGATACACATTAGGTTGGATGTATTGTTCCAGGAGAGCCAACTGAACTGCATTCTGTTTGTGATATTTGGTATTAGATAAAACAATAGGTGTTTCATTTGGTAATGAGTTGTTACATTTCTCCTTTTTTTTTTTCAGCATGTTGTATTCATCGTCAAATTTTTTGTAGCATGGATGATTCCTGATGTCCCTGCAGACGTGAAAGCCAAAATAAAACGTGAAAAATATTTAACGCAGAAAATCCTACATGAGTATGAACTTGAAAAACTGAAGGAGAGACTCTGTCAAGGTGATAAACGAGCCACGGAAAAGGAGTTCATCGCCACAGAAGGGAGAATGGAGTTATCCAGAGCACTGTAGTTGAAAAAACAACTGTGTGGGATTTAGCTCATTTTGGCTTTCTTACCTGTAATTTGCTCAGTATGCATCATCTTGAAAGCTATGGAACGGTTTCAACCCATTGCTTTCAGTCCAAAGATGTCAGACTTTTCTTACTGAGCATTCTAGGTTCAGTAAATCTACTTAGCTGTATGACTTCAGCACTGTTTTCTATTTACCTGTCACTTTGAATAATAAGTGTAATCTTGTATCCTAGAATTTGGATTCCCAGTATAGGGAACGTTACCCTCAAAGGGCTCACAGGATACGCTAAGGTCATTGCCACCAAGCCCTCCCCCTGTTGCTAAATGCAAAGTCCCAGGCTGTATCCCAGCTGAACAAAAAACAAAATGACATGAAAATCATAGAGGACTCCTGCTGTGGAAAATACTGAGAATTATTATTTTTATGACATGATCATTTAAATAGGAGAACACTTCTGATACAAGGGTTAGGGTTTGGGGCTTTTTTTGTCTCCACTATGTCTTACGAAACATTTGTTTGCAGCTTTGAACTTCTATATGCTTTTTAAAAGGAATTGATTTTTAAAAATATATTGGCTTAATTCCACTTGGCATTATTTATAGGCACAGAATTCAGTTAATGCATACCAATGAAGGAAAAAAGCCCTATAATTTATTTTCATAAAGATATCTTCTGCCAAAGAGTTTGCTCGTTAAATGCAAATATTGTGGAATCATCTAACAACAGTGTTTTTTGAAAAGATACATACAATTTGGAGAAATACAGCTAATTTATTACTCGGTCTCCAAAACTGCCATTGCAAGATCACGCTTGACATTAGTTTAAGCCAAAGCTGCTCCTTGGTTTGTCTGTGCTTGAGGCATACTGTGGAGTATGACTGCACAGTTTGGTCGGCTGGGACATGGACTGCCATGCTGGTTGATCGAGCTGGATGGTTTGTACATGGATTTGTATTCAAAAGATTTTAAGCCTGCCAAGTAATCAATGTTTACGTTGTTATTATCCTTATATATAGGAGCCAGGGGCGGGGGGTGTTTTTGTTTTGGTACTCTTTTGCTTTTTTTTCTTTTTAATCTTCAAGAAGGATTTTTTTTTTCTATTTTGTCATGGGGCTGTTCTACAAAGTTACCAAGTTTATAAATATATAATAACTACTTGTGCAAAGTAGCTACCAGCTGTTTATGAATGTGCCCTCATTTTATAATTTGAAGCAGTTAGGCATTTTTATGGTTTTGCTGTATATTTAAAACATATCAGTGCTTCCATGCTTAGTGCCTTGTTTATTTGCATTTGGCAGAAGATGTGAAAACGAGCACTATGGGGGAAACGCGTCTCTCCAAAGTGTGGTTGCAGGCATCGTGATACTGTGAACCTGCACACCAAGCTGTACAGTGTTAGCCAAACCCTGCCTGCCTCGGCACATGCGTGCGTTAGTGCTCAGCAAACTGCTCCCAGAGGGCGGCTCATACCTAGAGTGCTTAGGTAAAGTAGCACCAGACTGTTGTGTTCTCTCATGCTGACGTACACGAGCTAGAGAGATGAGAAATTTTACTATATTTGCACTTTGAAAGTTATACTTCTTTGCAAGTATACACACACCAAAAAATTCGATTTGTATTCCATATCAGCCAACTGATGTACTGTGTACTAGATTCACGACTTAAGTTTTCCATATTTCATTTTAGCAGACCTAGCCTATGGCTTGGAAAACTTGGCTAGTAACCTTCCTGTTGTAACTGTTTTAAATCAGTGTCTTGGGTGGAACCGCCATTACTAGCAAACATACTAACGTTGAAGTGCCTACCTCGAGCAAACATCCCATGGTTTGGCTGCCAGTCAAAGAGTTGAAGCAGATGTACATTTCTCGTTACTGTAAGTTATTCAGCTTCATTTGTAAGTTTGCTTGATAAATCAAGCAGATTGGCAACTCATGTTCACGATGAACTGGCCATGTTCTTGAATATTCAGATGTATTTGAAGTAATGGATTCATTGGAGGAATGCATGTATAAATAGATTAGCTCTGCTGCTTAATGTATAAGCCAAAGAAGAGTATCAGTCACCAGAACTATGTCTGCGACACCAGAATTTACACAGTGCAAGCACTTTGCTGCTTCTTACACGTGCTGTTAACGGAACTGCTTTATTTAGATGTCACGGTTTTGTTACCGTTAGCAATGCAAACAATTGCTTCAGACGGTAAGGTGATGAGATGCAAAACAGTATTTCTATGCAAAACGCACAATCTGATTGAAGCTGAAAAGAGATTTGAAAATTCCTTAGATGCACTATTCCTCCTACAGAACATTAGTTTTTTCAGGTTCTGTAATAAAGCATCCAAATATACTACGCTTGAAAAGATGTTACAAAATACATGTATTGTGAGTGAATAATGCTATTCAAAAGCATTGAAGTACCTTCGTCTGGGATACAGCATTGATCTGCAGAAGCCCCGCATGCAGACCCTGAATTTGAACTTGAACTGATGTTTTGACTCCTACTTGCTTCTTTCAAACTTATTTTTTGAGATCACTTCCTATTCAATGCTGTACAAACAGATGTTTTGCATATGTTGTATCATACAATAGAAAATGGAAAAAATCTGGGATCAGCTTATTTAAAGAGAAATATATATATCTTAAAAATATATCATTACACTTCATAGCATTACTTCTTTGTATACAGAGACTGTTGAAAAGAGAATGTCTTGTCCTATTAAGAGCTAATGTCACATAACAAAATAAGTCTAACACCTCTTTATGTAATAATTTGCCTTTACCGTCATTAAGCAGTATTTTGACAAAAAGATTATTAATGTCATTAGGACTATAATGATCCACATACAGATACGTTTCCTGAAGTGTTCTTGAAAAGTGACAAAAATAAGAAAAATGAACTGGTCAGCTTGGGGATGTGCTGCTTCTTGCTGTTGGAGTATTTGATTTTGATGTGTTTTAATAAAAATATCTAAAAGTGTCCTTTAACCAAAGCGAAGATAGTTCTGTGTTGGAACTACCGTAATTTAAGCAACAGTAGATTGCTTCATTAGAATTAGTTAGAAAGAGAAAATTGGCCTTTCAAGGGTAATACAATCAGGGATTATATTTTTTTTCCAATTAAAATTCAGTATTTTTACATATGAAAGATGTAGTGTGGTATATTCTAAGCAAATGACTGCAAAAGAAGAGTGCTACTATAAGACACTATACTGTTTTTTCTACAAGATTTTGTTATTATGCTTTTACTTTTTTGTGTAATACTATCAGTTTGAGACAACAGAAGGGAGTGAAAATAGATGGACTTTCCGACTGTTCTACGTGTACGGCTTGTTGTGACTTGTGCTGTTGTGCAATCAGAGCGGCGTTTTTGTCTGCTGAGTATGTTGCCGATCTATCTGATACACTAATGTTGGAATAAACTTTTTAAACATCGCATTCAGCTAACTTATGTATGTACATTTAATGAGATCTAAATCTGGCAAATAAAGCAGTGTTTCTTTTTAATGTGCTGTCAACTCATCTTTGAAAATTCAAAGAATTTGGAGAGTAGCTGAAGTATTAGAAGTTAAATGTCCAGAGAGCCTCATGGGGAAAAGAATTTGTACGGATTTCTGCAATCATTGCAGGGTGTTTGGATGCTCTAGATAGATTTCCAGTAATCTAAGTGAGAGACTTGCCATTTTCCACTTGAACGGATTAATCACATTGTGTAACTGACTTCTGTCTTCCTGCCTTTTCTTAAGAAATGAATTTCCAAGGAAAGCCTGTACTAAGTTCTGTCTATGTTGTAGGCAATGCACATGGACCGAGCTGGCATGAGTGTACCATACCCCTTGAGCGTATCAAGCCTGGCCAGTTCCTTACATTGGAGGGACACAATTCTGTGGAAGAGAGTCAGCACTTACATCTTCCTCCAGGTACAGTACAAACAATGTGCCAGCACACGCTGATTTTCAGCCAAGCTGCTTTTCCCTTTCCCCTCTGGAAGCAGATTTTATTCTCGCGATGCCAGGACCTGAGATGATGTCTCATGTTCCCAAGCGGTCACACACGCGCAGTTCTCACACACAGCACAAGTGGCTCGCATCCATGCACTTCGATAGCTTTCTGCGCATACACTGGAAAATACGTCAGAGCTGAAGCTTCTCCAAGGGACTGGTAAAGTCTCACCACTCACAGGGACCTCTACATAGTTTAATCTTTCTTACAGCTCTCTTCTGGCACCAGTGGAGGGCTTTGGCTTAAATCACCGAGAACGCGGATTCAAGTTTATGATTTGCTCTCCACAGCCAGCGTCAGCACAGGTTATCACTCCTGTTACACCACATTATCCGAACTCTGGGAAAAGGGTCACCCCCCAGACTCAGTAGGTCATTTCCTTTGTAACTTTGAAATGATAAAGAGAGATGCAAGAGCAGTAGTCGAATGAAAGAAATGTATGAGATTAATAAAACAATCTTGTCTATATTAAAAAAAGACCAAAACAAGCAAGGTGTAATTACATCCTATGTTTCTACCACTGTGCTGGCTACTGGGGGGGATAGGTCACTTAATTAGGTGTCAAAAGGAAAAATAAAAGTATTAAGAAAGATGGAGAAGGAAGTGTTAGCGAAAGGAGGGGAAAAAAAGAAAGGTGCTGTTGCTATGCAGGATGTAGGGGATATTCGTGTATTCTGAAAGTGTTAAAAGTTTTCAGGTGCATTCAAGCTTTGTTCTTGGAGGTTAAACCTTGCCTCCATTGAGGCCCGTGGTAAATGGGTAATGAAGTTCATTTGGGGGGTACAACTTCATCCAAAGCTAATTATATTTTGCAAGTAGCATGGTAACTTGTGAGACATTCACAAATCCTGGGACATACTGGGCTCTCCCTGCAATCAGAAATTGCAGCTACCCTTCAAAAGTCTTAATTCCTTCATTTATCTTCTGCAGTAAACGCAGAGGTGCACCAGAGTTTTGGTGGTGAGGCATCTGTCTGCTCAGTGTCTTCATCTACCCCAATTAAAGGGTCTTTCTAAAAATAAACCTGTGTTTATTCTATGCAAAAAAAATGGTATGGAGCACTGAAATAGAGGAAATGTTTTGAACATGAGCATCTCAATCAGGCTGGTGTAA